AAAAAAAAAAAAAAAAAAAGAGACAAAGGCCACAATTGCAACGACAACAATTGGAAGAGAGCTGCAACCACAAAACTATCTGTTCTTACCAAAGTTTCCCTTTTCTACTCTTTCAAGGAGAGCCTGTAGACTAGCCATGAGATCCTGTTCGCGAAGCTGAGATCCAGCAGTCATGCCTTTGTGTTTTGATTTGTCTGAAGGAGCAGCCTGTTGGTGGGCTTCCTGTGTTACGTCACCTTGTCCTCCTTGGCCACCCCCACCAGTACGTTCTTGCTCACGTGTGGCCTACAATAGAGGATGGAATAATCCAGTCAAATATAAAAATACGACGCTTTTTTATTCCAAAATACCGCTGTGTTTACAGACTTATTAGAAACCTCTAGCATCAGGTTTACCGCTAAATGCCAATCAGGCCCAGAAACACCCGTAAACACGGAGAAACACTTAGCATAAATGATATTCAATATGGCGGCTCTTCAGGAACACCTTGCGAAATGTTGAAAGTTGGACGGAAAACAACTGACGTCGAACTGCAGTTCGAGGTTTGCGATACTTAGCAAGAGTGTCGTGCTAAGGGTCTCTATTAACTCTGAGTTAGTAACGTCTCAGTATCAAAATATTTACAAATACCAACGTACTATTTAAACAATACAAACACTTAGAAATTGAAGGACATTCATTGGGGTATAGGAATATATTAAACAAAATTGAGGATAGCCCTGGCCAACAAAGAATACCAAACTAACCCTGGAGCATTGAAAATCTTTGATAAAGTACTAAGCTATAAGAATGAAGATCATTTACTGAATCACTATAGCAACTTACTTTAATCAGCGCAGATACATCGAGGTTATCAAGCATTCCCTTGAGCTTGTCTGTTTGTTGCATAATACGATCAAAGAATCCCTTCAAATCAGCTTGGTGTCTCGAGAGTTGAGAGCTCATGTGTAACGTCTGATCTTCAATCTTATCGTACAGCGTTCTTACATTGAAGTTCTCAAGTTCGAATTTGACATTGTGACTTTCATAAGATGGCGCTCCTTCAGCGACACCACGTGGCCCAAGTTCTTCAGGGTTGTCGTCTATTCCTGGAATAGGTACCACGGGTACAGGCGCCCCCAGGGCTTTGTATTTGGGCCTTAACGATGCTATGGGATACTTTCCAAAACTTCTTGGCCGCCAAATGAAAATGGCGATGATCAGCATAATCACACAGATGAACATGAAAGCTGTCATTCCATATATAACCTTCCAATTTGGTTCTAGATTCTGGGGCTGTGGAAAAAGGCAAATCATTGTTAGCACAATCAATAACTACTGTAGTTTAAGACCCCGATGTCTTCACACCTTTAAAGACCGTTCGCCACACTAAATAATTTCCACCAAATCTGAATAAGCTAAAGCGGATTAATGGTAAAAACTTTGCGGAAATACCATGCATTCTTGTTGGACTTCTCGACTATGCTTGACGAGAGAGACAATTATCATAATGAAGAGACACAATTCGCACAAAATCATTGTATTCGTATCAGTTACACTGAAACGGTTTTCATCGAGTAACCTCAAGCAAAAACGTCAGAGATTTAACCAAATGAGGTTTATATAGAAATAATTTTTTTCAAGTGCTATTCCCACCTCAGCTTTCTTCACTCCTAGTAAGTTATAAGTCTTTTCATTTGTAGCCTCCATGGTTCTGTTGAAGGGACATTTTTCTCCCAGTTTCATGACAGAAACAACGGTCTCTCTTGACGGCACGGCGTTATCATAAAACACGAACGTTCCTGCTTCCTCAAACACGTGAACAAACAGGTAGAGAGTCTTGTTTGTCTCGGTGATAATAGAATGGAGCTGACGGAAGTTTCCATAGTCGAACGAAGGATTAGTATTGAACAAGTGGTTCTTTCGGTATCGGGGATAATGACTCAACGTGCGGTTCTGCTCATTGATGAGGATTTTGAAGACTAACGATTGTCCAATCAGGAAACAGAATAACGGGTTTTGGACAACTTGGCTTGCGTTGTTGCCTACTGAGGTTTCATTACTGGGAAGGGTAACAGCCCTCCGTCTACGACGCGCAGACACAGTAGGTGCTTGAGTAGGAAATGTGACGGGCGTTTGTGATACAACTTCACTAGCTTGACTGAAATCCCGCGGGATATAACCTTTAATACCATCTGCCCCGTACGAGATAATCTCAGAAGAGTGATCAGTACGATCAAAGTCACTAACGCCAAGTTCTCCTGTGATTGCCTGGACGGTGGAATTCGAACCGTTTGAGGTCACTAGTTCTAGTATACCCAAATCGTTTCTTCGGACGGTAAACTTGGGTCTTGACGCTTCACATTGAAGGTCGCAATCAATTGGGTTATAGTTACAAACGCATGAGCCATACTGTTCTTTAAACTCCCCGGGACCACTACATGTTATTTGTTTGCACTCTCTCTGCAAGTCTTCCATAGTTTTGCATTGCCTTGTGGATGATTGGCGGTATTGCCCGTTACCACATCGAGTATCAACCTAATTTATGGGGAAAAAATCAGAATGGTAACTTTGTTGTTGCCGTAGCGAGGTCGCATCGAGAAAAAAAAAAGAAAATATAACACATTAACAATGCAAAAAGTAGAAATGAATAAATTGGAATTGAGAGGAAAGATAAAAGAAAAAAAACAAAACAAAAAAAACAACAACAAACAAACAAACAAAGATAAGGATAGGAAAGACAGATTTTAAAGTCAGGAAGGGTTAAATGTAATAGAGGCTTTGCTTTATTACATGATGGCAGCCATGACAGGAGGCACAACAATAGAGTCTGGGAAACTGAATTCTTTCTCATGTAAATCAGATTAAACCAGATTCAATTGTTGCCGTTTCCTGTTATGGCTACCATCACGTGATGACGCAAAGCCTCTATTCGGCAAGCTTATACATTTCAACGGTTTGCTGTAAAATTGATTTTTCGTTGCCTTCAATCAAAACTAATCTGTCGGTAGCTTTTATCAGTATCTTTGACTTGCGGCAGTGAAAAAAAAAAAAAAAAAAAAAAAATCCAACGAATACCTTAACTTGAAAGTTTGCATGAAAAAAACAAATGCAAAACATAAAATTTACCTCTGGTTGACAGTCGTTGTCGCTATTGCCTTCAGATTTCGACAAGTCAGCTTCATCAAAATAGACATAACCGGACTTACACTGACAAGATCCATCGGATATCTGGAAAGCCCGATTAATACCAATACATGTACACTTAGCCTGGCCTTTTCCTGCGGTAGAACTGCTTCCACACGGCCTACAAGCCGTCCTTCCGGCTACATTGTTGAAAGTATTATTGGGACACAGATAGCAATCAGATGGACTTGTTGCTAGGGAGCGGTTACCATAGCTACCTGCAGGGCATGGGTACTTGTCTCCACTCCCCAACGGACAGTAATATCCCTTGGGACATGGGTTCTGGTGTGGTCCGATGGTACCAGCAGGACAGTAATACCCCGAAGGACATTCAGTACAGTTCAGTCGTTTTTCATCATTACCATAGGTGCCAGCTGGGCAGATCTGACATGTCTGGGTGTGGTTCTCACGTGGTCTATCCCTAGTCAAGGAAAAATAGCCTAGCTTACATAAATGTTGGTAAGTCGATCCTTCTGGACAGTAGTACGGGTATTCACAAGGCACTGGAGAGGACCATCCTTCTTCGCAGTAAGTTCCACCTAACATCACAAAAAATTAAAAGATCATATCAATATCAATACAGGCAACAACTTATGGGGAAATAAGTCGTACCGCAGCCTACAACTTCTTCCTAGACTATACATACCTGGACATATTTTTGGATCCCTTGTTTGTATTTTGCAGTAACTTCCAGCAGGACAGAGTTTTTCCGATACAGATCCATTGGTACAAAAATATTTAGCCCGACAAATGATACCGTTTATGTTGGTTCGGTTTTCTGGACAGTAATGTCCTCCCGGACAATAGCCACAATCCGTTACATTTTTGGCACCAGGAAATTCTCGACGCCGTCCAGCCGGACAAAGTGTTGGCTCCTGAGCTCTTAAGCAGTAATATCCAAGAGGGCATCTGCTGTTATTATAGTTATTCATGCCTGTAACGTTACACCAATGTCCAGCGGGGCATTCGAAGCAATCATTGAGAGTTTTGCCTCCCGATATATCTCGATAACGATGGATTGGACACTCCTTGGGATATGTTCCTAACTCACAGTAATGACCAGGAGGACAAGGAACTCCGGAAGCCGACCCTGGAAAAAAAAAAAAAGTTTAGACCAAAACAATTTCGGTACCACGGTTAATCAGATTAATCAAGTGCATTCAAAACAATTAGCGGTTTCACCTAATGTAATACCATATAGCTAGTCAAACATGCACTTTTCTTAAAAAAAAGTGCACCTAATCCCTGATACAATACTTTCAGTATTGATTCTACATAAAGTGAATAATTGAATGGTGAAATATTTCTTCATTTGAATGTTGCGTCTTTAAGTTATGAAGGTCTATACTTTCAATATGTTACTGACTGTGACGTCACCCCAGGCTTTTGAGTGTAATTCGTTTTAATTCTTAATACTAAACACTAGCCATTATGAGACATCAAATTTACAATTAATATTGTGGAAACCTTGTGTATAATGATGATGCTTTTTTTAATACTGTTTGTGTGAACCAGTCAAAATTTGTATATTTAATGAAGCCTGAGGTGACGTCACAGTCAGAAAGTATTGTATCAGGGGTTAGGTGCACTTTAATAGTGACAAACTCTTCTATTGAACGAACATATCAAGGATGACTGAAAAGCTGATGTAACCATGTCCCAAGACTGTAATTTTTTGGATTCCTCTTCATGAATATTTCGTCATGTTTAGCTATCTTACCGTTCACACAATATCTTCCAGCAGGACATGTAAGACAGTCCGAAATATATCCAGTACCACCTGTGTAGTTTTTCATAGTGTTGATTGGACAAGGTATTGGAGCTTTGGTACCATTAGGACAAAAGTAACCCATTGGACAAGGACCTGCCTCAACTGGTGGACCATAACCATCCGGGTTAGGATCTGGACTTCTACTTTTACAAAAGTATCCCCCCATACAAGTTCTAATTATCTGACCAAGACGACAGTAGTGGCCTGTTATACAAGGGAGACACTGCGATGCGTTTGCAAGTCCGGCCATGTCGTCGTAGGTGAAAGTTCCATTTGGACAGGGTATTGGTACAGTAACCCCTGCTGGACAGTAGTGGTACTTTGGGCATTTAATGGGTGTTGGTTGACAATAATAGCCGGCTGGACACAGGTCACATGTAGATTGGCCTTCTAAATCTTGATTTGACCCTGCACAAAACAAAATGACAGTTTAACTATAAATATAAATATACCAAAAGAAGTATTTAAAATACCCCAGTTTCAAAATCTTTGTTGTACAAGGTTAGCCTCAATTTCGTATGGAATTATTTTGATATTTTAGGTTTGTATTGTTGAAGTTGTGTATTCTCCACTTTACCGTTGGTATTTGTGAATATTTAAACACTGATACGAGGCTAACCCTATGTTAATGAGTCTGCGATCAAGGAACACAGCGGTATTTGACTAATTCGAAGACGTCTATTGAATATAAATTAATAATGATAATCGACTGAGGGTGAGGGTCAAACAACAGAGATCCCGTCCAATATACCTCTTTACTGACCTTGGGCTTTTGCCCATTTCAGACCACGTGCCATTCTTTAGAGAATAAGATTCTTGTTTTTTTATTTTATGGTCTAAATTGGGCTATAGAGGTATATCATAGTGTGCCCTATAAAGTCATAGGTTGTGATCAAAAGTAACAAATATTAACAAAATTTTACAAGAGGTACAACATTTACGACAGTTGGCTAAAAATGTACGAAAACTTTCTTAGAGGCGAAGTACAAGTAAAAATAAATAAATAGATAGATGTCCATTGGAAGATTTATTACCTGGCTTGCACTCTATTGGATCTGCTGTTCCTTTTGGACACTTGTGATTTTTCGGGCAAATATATCCAGTTGGTTGTGATACATTGGCTCTTGAAAACTCTGGACAGCAATAACCAGGGTCACACTGGGCTGTTGGTTGCTTGTTCCCATAGCCTTCACAGTACCAGCCAGGTGTGCAATCAAGACACTGATGTATGGATTCAGCTCCAGTACTATTACGGAATGTCCCTGGAGGACATTGTTGAGGTGTTTGGGTTCCTTCCACACAATAATGTCCCTCAGGGCAAAGTCCGTTTCCGGGGTATTTTGCACTTGGACCTGGAGTTGAAGAATTAGCCCCGCCTTCACAGTAATGTCCCTTTGCGCAATCCCCCTTCGGCCTTGTACTTCCAGCCTCTGAACAATATTCCCCAGCAGGGCAATCAGTACATAAGTTAATGTTATTTAGACCAGTTTTGTTTCCATATGTGCCTAGTGGGCAGGGTTTAGGCGTTCCATCAGGACAGTAGTATCCAGCTTTGCATGCCACGACTTGAGTCATATTTTGGTACGGACACATACTTCCTGGACTACACTTGGTACAATTTCCTTGGCCCTTGTTGGGTTGATAAGATCCGGGTAGGCAGCTACGAGGAGCGTTTGTTCCTAAAACCAAATCAAGTTAAATGTTAAGCAACGTACGTCAAGAAAGGTTTTGAGTTCCCTTGAAACGCAAACTCTTACTTGCCAATTTTCTACTTTGATTTTACAAGGTTTATGTAACGTTTAGTTCAGCTGTGAAAAAGAAGGTATTTTCTCTAAACATTTACTGTGGTTTTCGATATTCTGCAAACTCAGATATTTCAATGGTTTGTTGTAAAATCGGTTTTTACTGCCATCAGTTAAATATAAAAGGTACCGACTGATTATTTTTGGTCGACGGCAGTAAAATAACAAATTTCAGTATTTCGCGAAGAGGCTATGTAAAACTTACTCACCGGCCGGGCAGTAGAATCCAGGAGGACACAAATACCCCATATTGGGATTATCAGGTTCTGGCTTACTCGAACCTCCACTACACACATAGCCTGCGCTACAGTCAGGAGCCACACCACCTGTTATTGTAATATTCGGACAATATTTTCCTATTGGACAAGGCATGCATTCTGCTTTTGATGAAATGCGACCAGTGTTGTGGTAAAATCCTGGAGGGCATGGTTCTGGTACCTTGGTGCCATTGGTACAGTAATGACCAGGAGGACATGCGGCATTAAGGTATTCGAAAGGAAAGAGTTGATGAGGCCAATTAACAGATGCAAGCCGATCATTCTCAGGGTTTGGAAGAAGGGCACCTTCTCTGCAGTAGTGTCCGCCCCAACAAGGACCAGTAGGTGCATCTAGACCTGGGGTTCTACAGTATGAGCCTGATGTACAGATTGTACAGTTATCAGCATTCTCCAGCCCTCGCTGTCCACCGAAAAATCCTGAAAACGAGAAGAGAACAATTAAAAGGACAATGAGAGTGAATAAAAAAAACTTGCAAAAGCGTGCAATACTTACGTTCGGGACATGGAAAGTCTCTGTAGTCACCAGTTCCTTCTGGGCAATAGTGACCTGTTTCGCAAGGTACTGGGTTTATGACAGCAGAAAACGTGTTGTTGCAGTAATAACGAGCTGGACAAGTCTTGCAAATTTCTTTTTGCGGCTCATTCTGGTAATATCCATTCGTACATCGAAGAGGGAAAGGACTTCCTTTAGGGCAATGGTGACCAGGAGTACATTCCAGACCTAATGGTGTAGACGTGGCCTGACCACCTGGACAATAATAACCTGCAGCGCAATCGTCTGTGGGCTTATCAAGTCCAGTTCCCCCGCAATACTTTCCTGAAGTGCAGTTCTGACAATCTTCGAGTTTAACGTTGCCAAATGTACCAGAGAATGTACCTGCAGGACAAGCCTCTGGTACGCCTGTGCCGTTAGGGCAGTAATATCCTGGTGGACATTTTGCCTGGTTTGGAGTAGTCGAGCTATCATTGCAGTAGTATCCTTGGCTGCACTGTGCTGTGGGTGTTTTCAACCCGGCATGTGCACAGTAGTAACCCAAGGTACAGGGTTTTGGACGTTTGGAACCAAGGGGACAAAAGTAACCAGCAGGGCAAATATCACCTGAAGAATAATACATACAAAGGCGGATTATTTCATAGTTATAATTTAGTAGTGCTATAATTGAATCCTTTTTTTAAATGATTAATTTATCCAATACATTTCATTCAATCACTGAATGTTTTCAAGAATAATTCCACAAGTTAACTTGCGAATTAAAGAAGTGCCTTAGTAAAGAGCAAAAAATCAGAGTTCAGAGAAAGAAAGGAAGAAAAAAAAAAAAMCCTCAAAGCACAACAAAAAATCAACTCTACTCAAATATGACACCAAGCCAGTGGAACTCGAAAACACATTGGTGAGACGTGAGCGCTCTCACCGCTACGCAACCCGTGCTTCCCTGTGTAAACATTTTACGATGTTGAGATAGTGGTACCTGTTGTCTTGTTCCAGGCTGGGCAAACACACTCAAAATTCCTGTAGCAAGTATCAGAAGGACTGGTGGCATTGTCGTAGTTGGCGCTGCCAATATCTCCAGGCTTTCTTGACCAGGAACCGCCGGAACAGTAAAAACCTTCGGCACATTCACCATTTGGCTCTACCCTTGCGTACCCCTCGCAATACCATCCAGCAGGGCAGGATATGCAGGCAGCTTCAGAAGACTGCTGTGTTAGGTTATTATATGTACCAGGTTTACAAGGATACTGTTTAGCAGTAGAAGTACTCAGCGGGCAATAATGCCCGACTGGACATGGTTGTGGGTTCTCGGTAGTTCCAGTACAGTAAAATCCTGAAACAATAAATATTCTTTCAGAGATACCTTCACTACAGTTAGGTACTAGTTGAAATACAACGTACTACAATTTTACAAATAAAAAATATAACTTGGTAGTTATCTAACGACTGCCAGTTTGGTTGATAAGGTTTCTTTATGGGTCTCTTTGCTTTCAATCAAAATGACTATTTATATTTTCTGAGGAAAGGTCTTTTTTTAAAGGAAAGGTTGTACTCAGAAACAAATGACCTACCAGTAGCAGCAACAAAAAAAATGAGAACATCATCAACATTATTGCCGTTGTCGTCGTCATCATTATTATGAACAATCACAATTATCAAGAAAACCATAGCACACTAAGAATCTTCACAAACTCATCTCCAGCTTACCTTCCGTACATGGTTCGCAAGCTGCCATTTGGGGCATTCGAGCAAAAGAGCCGCTTTTGCATGGTGATGGTATGGCACTTCCTTCTGGACACTCATTGCCGACGGGGCAGATGCCACCAATACCAGTGTTGGCACCACTTGGTTCGCTCACGTTAACACCAGATGTACAGTAATATCCTACCAGGAAAAACATAAACTAAGTTCTGGACGTTACTTTTAATACTTTAAGTTACCACTGTGCCTCACCTTTTGCGCATTTGCCAGTGACTGAAGACTTTCCAGGTACTTGACAATAGTTTCCTCCAGTACATGGTGTGCAGTAAGTTTTATCTTTTAGACCAGTTTGATTACCATATGTACCGACAGGACAAGGTACTGTGTCATATCCAGTACCGTCAGGACAATAAAAGCCGATTGGACATGGGTCGGGAAGTACGCCTCGAATACACTGATAGCCTGCTGGACAAATATAGCACTTGTGCCCACCTGGAAGATTAATTACAAATATTTAGAGGTTTTTAAAAAAATTTCATTAAGATTAATATACAGCGTTTTTGATTTTACCTGTATGATTCATGAAAGTTCCATTTTCGCACGGAGCAGGTGCTTTGGATCCCACTACACAGTAGTGTCCCATTGGACATCTGTCTCCTGTTACACCATCAGTAGGATTTTTTCTTTGGGCACTAATAGTGCAATAGTAGCCTTGGTCACAGTMGTTTGTCACGGCTATGAGTCCTGTGGTCTCACAGTACTTTCCAGGATCACACGCAACGCAATCAGTCCGGTTCTCTTTTCCTCGATAAGGGTTGTACGACCCTTTAGGACAAGGGACAGGGATTGGGGTGCCTTCAGGGCAGTAGCTTCCGTTTGGACAGTCAGTTCCGTATGGTTTATTGATGGGCGAAGGTTCCTTAGAACCACTTATACACCAGAAGCCCTTAGAACATTTCTTAGTCGGAACAACTGTAGGGGAAGGACACCAATATCCAGCATTGCAAGGATGACATTCCAAGTCATTCTTAAGCCCTGTGCGATTGCCAAACGTGCCTGAAAAACAGAAAGTCGTCATTTGCGCAAAGTTTCTTCTTCCGAAATTAATTAAGAGTGATAATTAGATTATATTTATGTGTTTCTAACAAAGATATTAATATTACCTGCTGGGCATGCAGCTCCTTCAGAAGAACCTTTGATACAATAGTGCCCGAGAGGGCAAACATCTCCGGTTATTCCGTCAGTTGGTGTAGGCAAGGAGGCATTAAGGCGACAGAAGTGTCCTTTAAAAAGAAAAAAAGGTTTACCCTTAAGGTAGCTCCATATAGTTAAAAGGCTTTTGAGGTACATGTTACATATTGTTGTATTAAAAATAAAACAAAGTATGTATTGACCCTTTTTTGCGCATTGTACTAATATTAGTAAATCAAGGTTTCAGTTTTTACAAAAAAATATCACATGACGGGTCGCCATAGCAACGTAACGTTAGTCTTAATTGAGGCTTTTTTGTAATAAAAAAAATTAAAGCTCGAGTTTTTCGCGG